GTCAGAGGCAGAGGGTGGGCTCTGGCCCGAGGCTGTGTGTGGGCCGCCCCCCCCTTCCCTTAGTGTGCATGGGTGGCCCCGGGAACTCAGGACCTGCTGATGCCTTTTGCCCCAAGCCCAGCGCTCCTGGGCCCCTATGCTCATTTGCCCCAACTTCGTGCTTACTGGCATTGCCATCCTTGAAGCCTCGTGGCCTGGTTTACGAGTCCAGCCTGTGTCCCTCTTCCTCAGATTCCCTTTGCACCTTGCTGAGGGAATCAGCACCTGGGTTATCCTCCTGGGACCATGGGCACGTCGGCCCTCAACACGGGCACACTGTTTTCCTTGGCAGATGCCTTCAGGGCTTCCCAAGATCTCCCCACGGGGTGCCTGGAAGCAGGAGGAGCCACCTGTCTGATGTGTCACCACCCCCAGACACTGCAGTATTTTGCCCTTAGGAGACTTGATCTCCCTCCATAATCAGCCACAGGAGGGAAAGAGGAAGAAAAGATTCTCAGGACTCACCTCCTGCCCTCCCTCTCTCTACCACCTGTCTTCTCCCTTCCCCCCAGACCTACGTAGAGGCTCCTCCTTGTCCAAGGAAGTGGAAAAACCCCTTACTTAGGTCAGACTCTGCATCCTCTTTATGCTGCAGCTTATTTTAATGGTCGACTCTCTGTCCTCCAAGCTTTGCTTTTGGTAAGTAAGGGGAAGCTTTTGGAAATTGGAAAACCTTTTCTCTCCATAAAGTCAAGTTTTCAAGATTGCTGTCTTTCTAGGGCAAAAAAGAAATTAATTTGAAAGGTGAGCAATGACACATTCAAAAGACATGTTCTAGGTCTCTAACTTCAAAAGTGAAGATTATGATTTTGCGTAATTTTTAAGTAGCCAGGTTTGGTACTTCAATATAATTCTGCCCTAAAGGGAATCAGGACTCCATTAGAAGGTAACGAATTCCATGTACAGGGAAGAGAAAAGCAGGAATGGGCTTAAACTATCCTACTGTTGTCTTCTAACAATGAAAGATTGCTGAGATGTGGGGTGAGCCTGGGGGCAGGTCATGTTAATAGAACAAAGGGTCTGGTTGGCCAAACTGCAACAGCTGGCAACCACTTATCACAATTTGAGTGTCAAAGTTGAATAACAATTGTAGTTGTTAAGAGCAAGTCTGGTCTAAAAAGACCGGAGTCCATAATGGTAGTTCGAAATGTTTATATAAAGTATACAAAGACAGTATTTTAAATGCATTTCAATATTAAGAAGAGTGTTATGGGGGTGCCTGGATGGTTCAGTCCGTTGGGCTTCTGCCTTCGGCTCAGGTCGTGATCTCAGGGTCCTGGGATCGAGCCCTGTGGAGGGGGGGGTTCCTGTTCAGTGGGGAGCCTGGCTTCTCTATCTCCTGCTCCCCATGCTTGTGCTCTCTCTCTCTCTCTGTCAAATAAAATAAATAAAATCTTAAAAAAAAAAGTGTTATGTATGGCTTTCTTATTTCTTCGGATTCTGTCTGTTTATAAAACTATGTCCAACATGTTCTTTATGTTTGTAAGTGGGAACAGTTGAATATGGGATGTGCAAGCAGGCAAGAGGTGACCAGGAAGAGTAGCGTTGACAGTCACACAAGGTCACAAAATAGAAAGAAAGTGTGTTGCAAGATGAAGGATGAGGTAAGTCTCCAAAAGGAGAGAATCAATTGCCTAGACGTTAAATTCCTTGAGTTCTGGGAGATGAAACCTCTAGTTGTTCTACTTAATTAAAATGAGTCTTCAGAAAGCAAGAGTGTTTCCTCCCCTCCTTCCTTCCCCTTCTCCTTTCCCCCCCTTCTCTGGTTCTTCCCCTTTCTCTCCCCTCTCACTCATTTTCCAAGGTCTTTTGCTGTATTCCTAGAAGGTATCAAAATAAGCACTACCATAATTGTACAAACATAAAAGAACAAGTGTAAGAGTGATGGTTGTAAGATGAATCCCATGGTGCTGATATTTTAAAACATATTTCAACGTAAATGTAGTAGTTTTATAGTCATTGGATTTGTGGATATTTTATATCCGTCTAGATCTTTGTTTCTTTTTTTTCTTTTTAAGATTTTTCTTTTTGAGTAATCTCTACACCCAACATGGGGCTGGAAGTTACAGCCCCAAGATCAAGAGTTGCCTGCTCCACTGACTGAGCCAGCCAGGTGCTCCTAGATCTACTTTGCCTTTTTTTTTTTTTTTTTAAAGACCTTATTTATTTATTTGAGAGAGAGAGTGCATGCCATGGACTGAGCTGGGGGAGGGGAAAGGGGGAGGGAGAGGAATAAGCAGACAATGCACTGAGCACAGAGCTTGGTGCAGGCCAATCCCATGACCCCAAGATTATGATCTGAGCTGAAACCAAGAGTCAGATGTTCAACTGACTGGGCTACCCAGACACCCCATCCCTAGATCTTTTTCTTAAAGGGACAGATAGTAAATATTTTTGGCTTTGTGGGATTCATGGTCTGTGTTGTAACTACTCAACTCGGCTGTCATAGAGCAAAAGAAGCCATAGACAACTTCCAAATGAAGGGCATGGCTGTTGGCCATGAGAACCATGTTGTGTGCATATGAAACTATTTTTTAAAAGATTTTATTTATTTATTTGAGAGAGACACAGCAAGAGAGGGAACATAAGCAGAGGGGAGTGAGAGGGAGAAGCAGGCTTCCTGCTGAGCAGGGAGCCTGATACGGGGCTCGATCCCAGGACCCTGGGATCATGACCTGAGCCGAAGGCAGATGCTTAACGACTGAGCCACCCAGGTGCCCCTAAAACTCCATTTATAAAAGCAGACAGTGGGCCATAGTTTGTTGACTCCTGGGCTAGGGTATTTATTTTTATTTTTCATTTTAAAAAAATATTTATTTTGGAGAGAGAGGGATAGGGGAGAGGGAGAGAAATCCTCAAGCAGACTCCCTGCTGAGTGCGGAGCCTGACATGGGACTCCATTCCAGGACCCTGAGATCATGTCCTGAGCTGAAATCAGGAGTCGGACCTTAACCAACTGAGCCACCCAGGCGCCCCTGGACTAGAGTATTTAAAGCTTCAAATAATCAGTTTGTGATAAGACTATCATTTTAGTGTAAACCATTTGGGATATTTATTGAATTGAGTTTGTAATCACTGTTCAAATGTTTATGAAAAATTATTCTCCAGGTATCCCTGGGTGGCTCAGTTAAGCGGCTGCCTTCGGCTCAGGTCATGATCCTGGGGTCCCGGGATCGAGCCCTGCATGGGGCTCCCTGCTCAGTGGCAAGTCTGCTTCTCCCTCTCCCTCTGCCTGCCTCTCTGCCTACTTGTGCTCTCTCTCTATCTCTCTGTCAAATAAATAAATACAATCTTAAAAAAAAAGCATGAATTCCTATACAAGTGATGGGAAGTGTTCCTCTCTACTCAAAAAAGTCTTTCTGATACTATAATTTTCCACCCATGTAAATTCAGAATCTAAATTCCCACATCTTCCCGTTAGTAAAAGAATTCCCATTAAGATGGTGTGGCAGAGACTGGCCGGCTACTAAGCAAACCCATTTCCTCCTCTCCCCGAGCACACAGCCAGACTCCATTTCCCCACCCCCACAGTTTGACTACTGTGTGACTGAATTCCAGTAAATGGAATATCAGTGCAAGTGAGGCACATCAGTTCCAGAGCTGGCCCGCAAAAGCCTCCCCATCTTTTTTCCAGTCCACACTCTGACTATGGACAACTCAAAAGCTGGGGAAGGGAGGGCAGAGCCAGGATGTGGAGGGCCCCATCCACTGAGGGGGAAATCTGCTTTGGGCTTCCCACGAGTGAGCAATAAAATTCTCTTGGGTTGAGCTACCGAGATTTTTGACTTAGCTGTCACAGCCAATAATGTCTTTTTTTAAATATATTTTATTTATTTATTTATTTGAGACAGTTCATGAGAGGGGAGAGGGTCAGAGGGAGAAGCAGACTCCCTGCTGAGCAGGGAGACCGATGCGGGACTCGATCCCAGGACTCCAGGATCATGACCTGAGCCGAAGGCCGTCGCTTAACCAACTGAGCCACCCAGGCACCCACAGCCAATAATGTCTTAATTATGGTAATGGTGGATAGCAGTGGAGATTTATTAATTTATTTTGGAATATCTTTAAAGGTGGAGGAAGGCAAGAAGGTGGAATTTTTACATTTATCCATCTATTCATTCAACAAGTATTTATTGAGGATTTACGTGGCTAAGTTCTGAGGATACAGAGACAGAGAAGATGCAGCTCCTGTCTTCGAGGATTCGGCTTAGGTCATGATCCCAGGGTCCTGGGATCGAGCCCCGCATCGGGCTCCTGGCTCAGAGAGGAGCCTGCTTCTCCCTCTCCCTGTCTCTCTCCCTTCTCATGCTTTCTCTCTCTGTATCTCTGTGTCTCAAATGAATAAATAAAATCTTTTAAAAAACAAAAACAAATGGAGTGTCCTGTGATAGAAATATATCCAAGTGGGCGGGTGGGATAGAGGAGGGAGTTCCCATTTCGGGGGAAGGAGGAAACAGCTTTCAAAGGCAAACAAGGCTGCCATAGCTTGGAGCCAGTTGCCTCTACTTGAGCAGGGGGAGGTTAGGGAGGGCAGGAGGTAGGCTAGGGAAGCAGACATCCCTTAGATCCCACCAGGCAGGTGGCAAGAGGCAGATGGTGGGGTTCAGGACTGAGCTCTGCATAAAACCTCAGGATTCAGCAGAAATCTAGTCTCACAGTGCTACCATACGAAGAGGCCGCCCGGTGAGCTGAGCGATGGGCTTGAGTGAGCTTCTTGGGACTTTTACAGGTTGGCACCGTCATAGTTCTTCCCTTGGCCTCCAGAGGGCGCGCCAGTGCTTCCCACAAAGGTTCACTCTTGAATACAGTAGTCTCCACTTAGACCAGGTTTTCCTGCAGTCAACCACCCAGGGGAAGCAGATGATCCTCTTTCTGACGTATAATCAGGTCAGTAGTAGCCTGATGCTACGTCACTATGGCTGCGTCATTCCCCTCAATTCATCTCATCATGTAGGCACTTTATCATCTCGAAACATCACAAGAAGAAGGGTGAGTACTGGACAATAAGATATCTTAACAGAGAGACCACATTCCCATAACTTTTATTACAGTATATTGTTCTTTTTTTTAATATTTTATTTATTTATTTGAGAGAGACAGAGATAGTGAGAGAGAGCTCGAGCAGGAAGAAGGGGGAGAAGCAGACACCGCACGGAGCAGGGAGCCCGATGCGGGGCTTGATCCCAGGACCCTGGGATCATGACCTGAGCCGAAGGCAGACACTTAACCATCTGAGCCACCCAGGCACCCCTACAGTATATTGTTCTCTAAGTATTCTATTTTATTATTAGTTATTGCTGTTAATCTCTTTATTGTGCCTAACTGATAAATTACACTTTATCATGGGTATGAATGTATGTGTAGGAAAAAACATAGTATACATGGGGTTTGGTAGTATCTGTGGTCTTCAGGCATCCACTGGGCATCTTGGGATGTATCCCCCATGGATAAGGAGGGACTACTGTATACATAGAATGTGTACTGTGTGTCAGGTTCAGCTCCGATCCCACAGTCTAGTAGGCGATGGGGGTGACTGACGCAAACAGATCCTTTACATGTCATGCCTGTCATGAGTCCACCAAGAGACATACACGTAGGATATCATAAGAACCCAGAGAAGGGGTTGGCTATGTGTCCGTAATAAGTAAGGACTCCTTGTCCTCACCTTCTGGAATTTGTACACCAAGTCCTAGTTCCCTCCACACAAGAAAAATTGCCTGATTTATTAAGCAGATGCTGGACACCAAGCACTACATACATCTAAACACATCCGATTTCCTTGAATTCTAGTAACAACCCCCTTTCCGGATGAGTAAATGGAATCATGGAGAGGTTAACTAGCAAGTGGCAGAGCCAGGATTGCAATCCAAACTTGCTGGCATTGAAATAAATCTCATGCTTTTAGCCCTTCTGTTCTAGGGCTACCCGGGAGCTACACATTTTGCTCATCAGGCCCCCAGGCCTTCTTTTCTCCGGATCGGGGCCCATTCCACCCCAGAAATCAATGACACCATCTCTCTGCATGTCCTTCTGAGAACTGTAGTTGGCTCTCTCTGGACTGTCTCCACCCCTACCCTGCCTTCCTATGCGACAGTGGGTAGATCTGGCCAGCCTTTGCTTGGGACGCTGGGCGGTCAGGTCTCCTCACAGCCCAGCCTTCTCCTACCGCAGGTATATCATGGCCACGGTCACCTGCATAGCTTCAGGCTTGGCTTTGCTCCCCCCTCCAATGCCATCTTCTGCTTCTCGCACAGATTCTACTCCATGTAATGTCTGCCTCAAATTCTGCCTTCTCCAGGGTGATAACTTGCTGGCCCACAAGGACCTCTGCCTATTATCTTCATTTCTGAAACAAATTAAATCAATTTATCAGGTGTTGTCCCAAGACATATCTCTCCTATGATAATTTATTTTAGAATAGTTATCATGTATGTGATAGCCTTTCCTACTACAGGAAGATGTGAAGTGTGTCCAAATTTCAATAGGCTTAAAGTAAAGATGTAGGGCACCTGGGTGGCTCAGTCGTTAAGCATCTGCCTTCGGGTCAGGTTGTGATCCCAGGGTCCTGGGATCGAGCCCCGAATTGGGCTCCCTGCCCGGTGGGAAGCCTGCTTCTCCCTCTCCCACTCCCCCCTGCTTGTGTTCCCTCTCTCTGTCTCTCTCTCTGTCAAAAAATAAATAAAATCTTAAAAAAAATGTATAAGATGTAATTAAAGTACAACTTTATATTTGCCTCTAATGCATGTTTTTGTTACTTTAAAAATATTAACTTTATTGAGATATATTTTAATACTATGAAATGCACCCATTTTAAGTGCATATTTTGATGAATTTTGACAAATTTACATAACCATGTTAGACCACCATAATCAAGATAGAGGACATTTATAATCATCCAAAAGAATTTCTGTGTGTTCCTTCTCAATCAATGGTTCCCAGCTTCTGTCTTGGCCAAAGGCAATCACTGATCTGGTTTCTGACCCTATAGATTAGATTTGTCTTTTCTAGAGTTTCATATAAGTGAAATATAAAGTATGTACTCTTGTGTCAGACTTCTTTCACTCAGCATAATGTACTGGATATTCATCTGTGGACCAGTATTTCCATATTATTGTTGAATAGTAGTTTCAGTGTATTAATACACCACAATTTGCTTTTCCATGCTCCCATTATGGACGGTGGAGTTCTTTCTTGGTCACTGAGAATAGAACTGCTCTGAACATTTGGGTGTTGTGTGGACATATGTTTTCATTCGTTTTTTAATCAATACCAAAGAGAAGAATTGCGCAGTCATCTGGTAAGGTTTTGTTTAACTTTATAAGAAACTCCTAAATTACGTGGTCACACCATTTTACATTCCCGTTAGCAATGGATGAAAATTCCAGTTGCTCCATATCTTCAGCACTTAGTACTGTTAATCTTTTATAATCTGAGCCATTTTAGCAGATATGTAATGTTATCTAATTGTGGCTTTAACTAACTCTGATGACCAATGATGTTAAGTATCTTTTCTTGTGCTTATTGACCTTTTGCATATTTTCTTTTGTAAGTGACTATTCAAATCTTTTGCCAATTTTTAGAAATTGGGTTGTCTTTTTAGTGTAAGAACTTCTTTTTAGTAAAAACTTTTTTTTTAAGACTTTTTATTTATTTGAGAGAGAGAATGAGATAGAGAGGAGAGAGCATGAGAAGGGGGAGGGTCCGAGGGAGAAGCAGACTCACTGCTGAGCAGGGAGCCCGATGTGGGACTCGATCCCGGGACTCCAGGATCATGACCTGAGCTGAAGGCAGTTGCCCAACCAACTGAGCCACCCAGGCGCCCTTTAGTAAAAACTTTTTATATATTAGAGATACAGTTTCTTTGTCAGGTAAATGTATTTTCAATATCTTTTTCCAAGTTTCCAAGTTTCCATGTTAAAATGTATTACCCAAGTTTAGGCTTCCCCTTTTATTTTCTTAACTATGTTTTTTTAAAGGGTAAAGGTTTTAATACTGATGAAGTGCAATTTATCAATTTTTCTCTTTTATAGTTTGTGCTTTTTGTGTCCTATCTAGTCTCTGCTTACCCCAGTTTTCAAATATTGTCTCATGTTTTCTTCTAGTAGTTTTGTAGTTCTATTTTTATATTTGGGTCTATGATCCATTTTGAGTTAACTTTTTGTACATGGTATGAAACAAGGGATGGATTTATTAATTTTTTCCCCTAAGAACATAGAGCTGTTTCAGCTTCATTTGTTAAAACTCTATCTGTGGGGCACCTAGGTGGCTCAGTCGTTAAGCATCTGCCTTCAGCTCAGGTCATGATCCGAGGGGTCTGGGATCGAGCCCCGCATCAGGCTCCCTGCTCTGCGGGAAGCCTGCTTCTCCCTCTCCCACTCCCCCTGCTTGTGTTCCTTCTCTCGCTTTGTCTCTCTCTCTGTCAAATAAATAAATAAGTCTTAAAAAAAATAAAACTCTATCCTTTTCCCCACTGAATTATTTTGGAACCATTGTCAAAGATCAATTGACTAATAAAACTACAGTAATCCAGAGAGTGTGGTATTAGGGAACGAATAGGCAAGGAGAACATTGGAATAGAATAGAGCCCGGAAATAAACCCATATGAAAGTGGTCCATTTTTTATCTTTTGATCTTTGACAAAGGAACATCCATTTATGATAAGTCTCAACAAAGTGGGTACAGAGGGAATATACCTCAACATAATAAAGCCCACAGCTAACATCATAATTAACAGGGGAAAGCTAAAGGCTTTTCTTATAAGATTAAGAACAAGACAAGGATGCCCATTCTCACCACCTTTATTATAATGTTGGAATAGTATTGGAAGTCCTTGCCTGAGCAATGAGGCAAGAAAAAGAAATAAAAGGCATCAATATTGGAAAGGAACAACTAAAACTGTCATAATTTGCAGTCGATGTGATATTATATGTAGAAAACCTGAAAGACCCCACCAAAATACTATTAGAACTAATAAACAAATTCTTTAAAGTTGCAGGATACAAAATCAATATACAAAAATCAGTTGCATTTCTATATACTAATAATAAACTATCAGAAAAAGAACTAAGAATACAATCTGATTTACAATTGCATCAAAAAGAATAAAATAGCTAGGAATAAATTTAATCAAGGAGGTGAAAAAGCCTGTACACTGACTAAAATGCATTGATGAAAGAAATTGAATATGACACAGATAAACAAGATATTCTGTGCTCGTGAATTGGAAGAATTATAACTGTTAAAATGTATTACCCAAGAAATCTACAGATTCAGTGCAATTCCTATCAAAATTATTTTTTTTAAGATTTTATTTTTAAGTAATCTCTACACCCAGCGTGGGGCTTGAACTTACAACTCTGAGATCAAGAGTTGTATGAGCCAGCTAGGAGCCTTCCCATCAAAATTCTAATGACATTTTTCAGAGAAATAGAATAAATGATCCTAAAATTTTTATGGAACCACAAAGGACCCCAATTAGCCAAAGCAATCTTGGGCAAGAAGAACAAAGGATTTTGATGGATTCCTGATTCATATTTAGGTCTTTCATCCATTTTGAGTCTATTTTTGTGTATGGTGTAAGAAAATGGTCTGGTATCATTCTTCTGCATGTGGCTGTCCAATTTTCCCAACACCATTTGTTGGAGATTATCTTTTTTCCATTGGATATTCTTTCCTGCTTTGTTGAAGATTAGTTTACCATAGAGTTTGAGGGCCCATTTCTGGGTTCTCTATTCTGTTCCATTGATCTATGTGTCTGTTTTTGTACCAGTACCATACTGTCTTGATAATTACAGCTTTGTAATAGAGCTGAAAGTCCGGAATTGTGAGGCCACCTGTTTTGGTTTTCTTTTTCAACATTCCTTTGGCTATTCAGGGTCTTTTCTGGTTCCATACAAATTTTAGGATTATTTGTTCCAGCTCTGTGAAAGAAGCTGATGGTATTTTGATAGGATTGCATTGACTGTGTAGATTGCTCTAGGTAGCATAGA